AACATTTATGCTATCATGGGCCTGGAGGTTACCAATGGATTTAATTTTGTTAAAAAGTTGGTGTTTACATTACCAAGGGTGGCTTCCCTCTATTTCTTACAAACAAAAAGGAGATTGTTTATGATGAGTCTTCAACAACAGGAGTTTTTTGGGTTAGAAGAGGCTATAGGCCAGTGCAAAAATGATAATTGACCCCTGTTTAAACATCATTCATACCTTCATTGCAGATCATTGTTCACAAGAGCAGTCCAAGGGGAACACATTTTAGATGTGTTGGACCCCATCAAAAGGTAAGTTTTAATTTGGTTAGTTTTAATCTTTGCCTGTGCCTATTTGTAAATTGTATGCATTGACTCAAATTTTTACTCAAATATGAGTTAGCATTTGAGAAAAAAACATGATGTGATATAAAGCACTCCAATGGAAAAACTTAAATGTAAAGGAGGACAAAACCAAATTTAAAGGAACATAGAATATGACTATTAGATTTTTGAAAGAGAATGAAATCTAATCATTCGAGATTTGAGTCTCTCTTGATTTGAAAAAAAATTTAAGTTCCCTTAATTTGGTATGAATTTGGGTATAAAATCAGAGAGAAATTTTTAAGAGTTTTTAACCCAAATTTGAATTTGAGTTTAAAAAAAAGAAAGGGTTGGAGATGTTCTTATGAGTATCATTTGTGTTGTTTGATATGCAGGGCAGCTGTTGAAGATGCAAATGGCTAGAAGAGTTTANCTAAATTTAAATTTGAGTTCAAAAAAGGGATAGGGTTGGAGATGCTCTTATGAGTATCGTTTGTGTTGTTTGATATGCAGGGCAGGTGTTGAAGATGCAAATGGCTAGAAGAGTTTAGTTGATATGCTGCATTTGGCCATGGACAAACTGTCCCTGCAAATTATTTGCTGCCTAATTTTTAGAAAGTAGGGAAAAATGCTTAGAAATACTTGCATGGAGTAATGTGAATTATATATATATTTTTTTTGGAATAAATAGTGGCGGCCTATTGTTACCGCCTATTGTTCAATTAGAATCCCATGTATGTGCATAATTGTCAATTTGTTTTGAATTTGAAGTGTGTACATGTTTATTAAAATTTCATTAAATCATGTTGCATGGCTTTGGTGAATACTTATTGATTACATGGCTTTATGAGGACCAAAAGATCACTTAAACACATCCAGCAATGATAGCTGTGCAGAGCATGAGTTAACATGCATTCAACAAGTAATTCCTTGTTGAACAAGCAACGCTACACAACCCAAATAAAATATAAAAAATTATAACTCAAATGCATATTATCCCTTGGATGAGCGGATTTCATCAACTTTTTCAGTGAGATACACTCGTCCCACACTCATCCAAGGGATAATATGTATTTGAGTTTTAATTTTGAGTTTCATTTAAATTATATATCATTTTCCTTAGAGAATTCAAGCAAGCCCAATAAAATAGGTTAGTAAATAGGCACCCTTAAAGGATTTATCCTCCCATCGTTCAGTTCATTATCTACTAATGTTTGACCAATAAGCGTGCATGGTCTCCCTCGTTGGGTAATTGCGTTTTGGCTTGAGAGTATGCCCCCAACACCTAGGTCTATAGGGATGCCCCCAGAGTTTTGATTTTGCAATAGACCATGATCATGGACGGGACTTTCAGGATTTTGAGATGATGTATTCATAGACTAAGACAATTCTTGCATAAGATTTTGACCTTAATTCGGAACATGAGGTCATTTCTTGTTAGATCGNTAAGACAATTCTTGCACAAGATTTTGACCTTAATTCGGAACAGGAGGTCATTTCTTGTTAGATCGTAACTACATCTGGTTGACTTGGGCTATTTCTTTAGAAAGATGAACCATCTGACATGATAAGATTAGACTCTACATTCCAAAAATTCATCAACTTCAGAAGTCCAGCCATCAAGTGTTGCACTCCCCACATCCCCTAAGACTGGATAAGTATGAGAACAATCAGTGTTGTTAAGCTTAGAAGTCCTAATCATCATCTGAGTTACTCCATTCATGATTTGGAATATTCCATCCTTGAGGGGGGCTTTCTTGATCTGAACTCTAGGAGAAAAGCTACCAACATAGCTCCCAAGGTGAAGTAATCATACCAAATAAAGAGTTCTATGTGAAAAGGTGCTTTGCATAAGGTCTAGTTTCTTGGGCATTAGATTGGCGACAACATAAGTTGGATAGTGTTAGAGTATGTGCGGCTCATATTTGCTGTGTACATAATGGTAAGAAGGCAGATGCCAAAGTGGGATTTGTATAAAGGGGACGCTGATTAGTTGGGGGTGCGGGGGCAACGCCCCCGCGGTACGGTACAAGAGTATTTTTGTAAATACGTCCGTATTAGGGTTATATAAATACTTAAGATGTAATCCTACTTATAATAATGAAAAAAAACGGCCGCTCGCTCTCGTGAATGTAGGCACATTGCCGAACCACGTAAATCTCTGTGTGTTATTTTTCTCTTGTTTTCTTAATTGTTTGATTCCTTACTATTCACCATAATTGCTGCACGATCACAATAGATAGATTAATAGAAAGTGCGTGCAAGCCGCGGTAAACTGGGAGATGCCACGCAAGGTACAAGAACTAAGATTCTTCATTATATTAGTCATACTTCAAAATCTATATTTATATAGTTGTATATATAAAATTTTAGACAGTTCATCGAGGGCATCTCAGGTAATTGGAAAGGCTTTAAACTACTTTTGTCTTACCTTCTATTATTATATTAGTCAAGGGCGAATGAAGGGTGTGTGCATGTTCTAGTTCTAATTACGAAGCTAGTGCTAGTGCTAGTGCCAATTTGTGGAAGTGGAATTAGTGAACAAGCGAGAAAACGAAGGGTTTGGCACCCTTACACCTTCTTTCTCAAAGTCAAGTTTCAACTTTTTGAGGAGATATTATAGTGCTTTAGAAAGATTGCAAGGTTGAGATAAAAGTCATAAATCATACAAGCAAAGTGAGACAATAACACAAGGAAAGCGAAAGAAAACAAGCGAGATCATAACCAGGCGAGCATGAAGGAATAGTTCTCTCTCCGACTTGATCAACAAAACATACCTTTCTTTCAACGTCAGTCAATATAGATATTAAGATTCCAACTATAGCCTTATATACTTTTCATACTTCAATGGAAAAAGCTCCAATCCTTTTACAGAAAAAAAAAAAAGAAGAGAAAAAGCCTATAGAGAGCTGTAACAATGATTAAAACTTAAAGTACAAATTCGATATGGTGTTAAAAAATATTAGGAATAGAGGATTTATGCTTTCTTGCAAATCTCTAATAAAATAATGCTCCAAAATGTACAAACGCTAACATTTAAGGAATGAGTCTATAATTATGAAATTCAAATTCTAACCTTAGGCACTCTATGTAGTGCCCCTGGACATCATAGATGAACAAATAAGGATCAAGGATGTGGAGTCCTCAGTTATTATTGACAATGGCAATAGTCTGGAGAGATGAGAGACATTCGAGAGATAAGAGCTTTCACTTTGACATACATTTGTAGGCTACTCTTACATTGAGAGATAAAAGAATAGAACACCTGATCTTAATGGATGAGAGATGGGAGAGATATGAGAGGCGACCGAGAAATGGGAGAGAGAAGGCATCAACGGCGCAAATGGAAAAGCAACACTAGTTGGCTAATTTTCTTTTTATATAAAACTATATATATTTCGGGATGAGTTCGGGTTGAACTCGGTAACCTGAGACTTCAAATTGGGTATTACCCGAATTCAATTTGGATTAGAGCTTTTTAATCTAGGCCTAATTCAAATATTAAAAATTTTAACTTAAATCCTACTTTTTTCAGGTTTGGTTCGAGTTGGTCCACCTAAGTTGTACCCCTATGGAGTATTGTCCATCAACACCACATAGTAATTTATTGGAGACCCTATTGCACTTATGTCAAAGTCGAGGGTAAGGTACTACTATGTACTCTGAGCATTGAAAAAGAAGTTTCACCTCACTAAGCTACCACAATTTTGAAGACTCGGAATCAATCAGAATATCCGATTTGTTATTCCCAGACTAATCGCTCGGTTGTATTGGACATAGTTTCTGGCTTGGCCCCTCTGATTTTGGCGGTCTAACAGCACACTGTGCTGTTAAGAACAAAGAGTGCTAAAATACACTATTCAGCAAACAAATCCACAACGAGTTCAACTCAAACCTTTGACCCCACAAATTGTTAAAACGCACGATTTTGTCAAACCACAATCGTCTTCTTATCCGGCCAAACGAAAACTATTTATTGATTTGTCTTCCTCGCTGTAACAAAAATTATTGGTTATTGTCTTCCTTGTCAAACTTGACAATTATTCGACTACGATGCTTTGATCGGTATAAAAATTTTTCCCCAAATCAGCCGAAATCACAAAAAACTCTAACATTAAGTATCGGCTACAAGTTCTTATCAAGATTGTACCAATGATAGTCACAAAAACTATACCAAGATTCTAATAGGCAATTAAAAAAAAAAAAAAAAAAAAAACTTTGTGAACTAAGAAATTTGAAACAACATCAAAATTATTCGAGAGTGTGAAATTGGAGGAAACCAAGTCGAAGTGTCAGCCAATTGCTATAGAGAGACAGAAAGAGAGATCAATTAGAACTTGAAATTTCTACTAGTGATTACAAACTTTGTGCAGACGAGTTCTTTCTGATTTGGGCGAGAGTGATTTACGTTGATGGATGGACTGTCCATGTTGCTTAAGGAAGACTTGATGGGCAATGTTGATGGAGTGACTATGCAAGTCGCTTAAGACATGGTGGGCAAACGTCGATGTGGGTTCAATGATTTTCGAGTTGAACGGCGTCGTTGCGGATTTGTTTGCTGACTGTGTGTTTTGGCCAAAACGGTGCCGTTCCTCTTAGTGTGTTAGGAGCCAAACCCGTTCATATACATAGGTCAGGACCCGAGGCTCCGAACCAATGGAATTTGGCGGGGGTCTATTATTTGACTCTTCTCTCTCTCTCTCTCTCTCTCTCTCTCTCTCCCCCTGAAACTTCTCTCCCACGCTACATTTTTATATTCCCAACACAAATCCAGTATTCAAGCACAAAATTCTCATCGTCTCTTTTTGCCCTCAAAACGCTGAACCCCCTCCCTCTCTCCATAAACCAATCGAAGAATTTCGGAGATGCGGCAAAGTGACATGAGCTCTTCGTATTACCAAACCTACCAATCCCATTTCCAAAACCCTAATCCTGCCTCTACAACCTCAACTGATCCACAGCCCAATAATCCCTTAGCTACCACATACGCCTCCGCTCCCCCAATTTCCTCCAATTACTCTTCCTCCGATTACTCCAATTTTTCCTCCGCATACCCTCCGTACACCCAGAATCCCGATCATGTCCTCACGTACCATCCAAACCCTAATCTTCAATCATCTTATACCTCTAATCAACAGCAACCTTACTCTTTCCCTCATCTCATTCCAGAAGAACCACCATATTACCAGTACGATCAGAATCAATCGGATTTGAACTATGAGAATTCGAACCGTAATTATAATTCAGTTCCCAATTCATCGTTTTCGTCGGCTTCATATTCGCCTGCCTCGTACAGTGCTTCGAATGTTCCCAGTGTCGATAATTTATCCATAAGTAATACTACGAATTATGGTGGATTTGGATATCAGGGCATGTATGATGATAGAGGGTTTGGTGATGATGTTGTTGGTGGCGGTGGTGGTGTTTATAAGTACAGTGGAGGTAAGGTAGAGCCTTATGGTGCTCGAGGCTTTCAGTCTGAGTCATCGTCTGGGGCGATCTTCGATGATTATGGGAGGCCGATAAATTCTTCTAAGGGGAAGGAACAAAATGGATCAGGAAGTTTCGGTAAGATTGTTAAAGCAATTCCGAAGACTGAGGAGCAAGAGGATGTGAAGAGTGGTGTGCAGAAATTCCGTGTCAAGCTTTTATCAGAAAGCGTAGGTCAGAGCGACTTGGATGTGCTTTGCCAGGTTTGTGGGATAAGCTGTTCATCCTTCGGGTTTTCCCAGTTGTCTTAACTTCAATTGTCTTTGTTTTATTCTTAGAGTTTAAATTATGCTGACCACTCAAATGGGCGTATTGATCAGAATGATTCCACTCCTCTATTATCTCTGTATAATTAGCTGTTTATGCTATTTGTGCATCTGCAACTAGCCACTGGTATCTAGACATTTGATTGCTTTAGGGGGCAGAAAATATTAGAACTGTGATTTAAATTATATATGTTTTTGGTTGTGGTAAATTCAGTATTCAAGCATCTACATCTGAAATTATAATGTTGGTTGTGATTAAATTCCAGGTTGGTCTGGATGGGATTCGCATACTTGATCCAGCAACTAGTCGGACACTGAAAATATACACATTGGAGACTGTGACAAGATGGGAGGTAAGTCTGTTGAATTGTATCGAGTGAAATTTACTATGTATTGTCTCATCTGCAAAAAGCTTACCATTAAAATTGTGTTCGGGATTGTTCAATTACACTTTTAGGTATTGGACTCATATATATTTGCATTTTGGGCTAAAAGCTCCATGGATTTTGAACCAAGACGTGTCAGGCTAAAATCAAATAGCTATACCACAAACAACATTCTGGACGCGGTGACAGCAGCAAGTATTCAGGTGGTTGTTATATTTCCTGTTGATGCTTTATTTTGATCAATGTGCTCCCAACTATAGTCTTATTCTGCTTTCCATATGCTATTTTTTTGGAGTAATGCTACGATATATGAACCATGTTGTTGATGATGCAGCCCTCTCCTTGGAAATTTGTTATTTTTTATTCTGTTGGTGAAATGATGGGAAGTGTTGATTTATTTTTTTTTTTCTCAATATTGACCGGAAAATTGGCCGATTCTTAAGGCATGGCAATTTTTACAAATTAAACGCATGATAAAAAGTTCATGAACTTTGTGACCAAGGAACAAATGAGGGAGGGCTAAATAGAAGATTGTTGCTCTTGGTGACAATGAAGTAAATGTGGCATCAATGAAACTCACTTTTTAATTTAGTGTTTGGGGCAACCATTTGCAACTTTTCTATACGGAGAATCATTGCTTTGCCATACCATCAAGGTTCAAAGTATCAGCCGAGTTGGATACAACTTGACGGAGGCGTATCCGCCTCGGCAGGCGTCGATCCGATAACGATACACGATACAAGACTATCACGAGTCTACCATGAATCGGTTCTGACTCGGACAAACTCGAATTCAACTCGGTCCAACTTGGGCAAACTCGGCCGATTCACTTTCGAATCGAACTAATACGCACAGAATCGTCCAAGCAACAAAGAAAATGTCAAAAAAAAGACAAAAAAGATGAGAAATTGAACCCTAAATCAGACCATTTTTACCATAATAAAAATAAAACAAGAAAGTTAGAACAAAATTGAACACAAACTTGAAAAATTACGGTAAATCTCCCTAATCAGAGGCCCAATATCATCGATTAACATCGCAGATCGGATTTTCCTTCTTTTTTTTGTAGTTCTTACTTTCCTTCTTCTTCGCAGTTCATCGATCAACATCGCAGACCCTAGGCTGCTCGACGATCGAACTACTCGATAGCAGAAGACCCAACCTTCACAATGAGTCTCGAGTAGCAGAGACCCATCATCTTTGTGCGCCCTCTCTCTCTCTCTGTCTGTTCGTCGAAGTTGAGAGTTAAAGAGAGAGGCTTTGGCTTTATCAAACCCAAAAATTTATTCCCCCCTTTTCTTTTTGTTTTTTCTATTTTGGCCCACTTTTTTTAATTATATAATTTTTAGTATTTATCATATAATCTAATTAGAACTTAACTCCTTAAGTTTGTTTTTGTATATGTATTGATGATTTAATAATTAAATGTACATATAATCGATCTAATTAGATTCATAATAAATAATTAAATGAAGAATTTTTTTATAAATAGATTTTCATTTTTAAAACTATTAAGTTAACTATATATATACGTTTATATTTTTTTATAATTTTTAAAAATTACAAATTAAATTATATTAACCTTGAATATAGATGATAATAAATATTTTTCGGTAGTATCCTTGTTATTCTTTTTCACAATGATTAATATGTTAAATAATGTCTTTTAGGGATATGATGCATTGATGATGATGTTTACATTTATTACAATATTTTTTAATTTTTTTGAGCCTTCTATATAGTGTTTTGGGCATATCAGCCGATACTGCACTGTGACTGATGTGTCTCAGTGGCCCCCAAATCAAGGGCTGATACCGCAACCTTCAACCTTGAACCATGCAGATGGATGCATGCATGCACTCTTTTAGCCACAGGAAAAAAAAAAAATTAAAGCATGTGGTATTATGCCATGCACCAAGACTTAATCATTCTAGCATACTTGTTGTAAGAATAGAGAGTGGTGTAAAGGTAAAGTTGCTTCATTGTGTGAGCTTCAAAAGGTTCAATTCGTAGAAACAGTCTATAGCCAGCTAGTGGCGGGAGCCTAGTGCAATGAACTGCCCTTTTTTAGACTTGTTGTAAGGACAAATTAAGATGTTCTCCTCGTGCATAAGGGTTGATATACATCGACTAAGAGTCACAAGGGGCAGTTAATATCATTTATGCTGATTACTGGATTGTTAAGTTCTTACTTATTATGCCTCTTAGTCGAGTGAGTTATATTTCAATTAATGCCTGTTAAGTTGGGGTGATAAAAGGTATCATGGCTTGGACATGCATTGGACGATGTTATTTGCAAACTGAGGAGCTATCACGATGGTTCACAGGTGAGACAGCTGTATTAGCATCATTTGTAGCTGCAGAAAATCATGTGGCCGTACAAGGGGTTTTTGATGGTTATCCTATCTCCTTTTTTGAGGCTTACTTGAACTTATCGTTGGTTATGGTTGCTTTCGATGCCCTGCAGCGTTGTGGCTACAGTTTTTAGCTTTCAATGTGAGGGATGGTTAACACCTGTTTTTTATTTTTAAATTACAGGGTTTTGAAATTAAGCACACATATAGTGGCAGAAATTAAGATATGATAGGTCTTGTTGGTGTCCATTTATTTGCACAGATTTTGGTGTAGAGTTTGATGGTCCTGTTATTCAGGATACCTACCCACTTTTTCCTCATCCATGCCGGCATCTCTAAATGAATATCATAAACGGATAGAATCCTTAGTTGTAAAATTCATTCTTTTGACACATCTTATGTTGGATTCTATGGTCCTCTTGGGGTGTGTGTGTTTTTCCAAAAGTTATACAATTCATTCTTATATATTATGTTTATTTCTCTACTTTGTACATTTGTGGACATGGGAAAAGTTAGAGTTAACCAATTTCAGTAGGGCTGCGAGATATGCAGTACATTAAATTGAGACCCCTGATTAATAGACTGGCTCTGGATTGCTATTGAACTGATAAGTTACATGCATGTTGTTTTTGACATCTATCTTTATCAGGCAAGGGTAATGATGTGGCCTTGTTGGCTTATGTTTGTAAGTGTGGTGGATGTTTATTCTTTGCACCGACATTCTTGTATAAATTTACCTTACAATCATTACTTGGAAGCAGTTCAAGGAGATAGGTGGAAGCGGTAAACCTTCTGATTCTCTTAAGGTCTCGGAGCCACCCTCTGAAAAGAAGAAAGGATTTGCTGATTGGATGAACTTGATGAAGCCTGGAGATGAGGAGAAAGATCACTGGGTTAGATTTTGTTACATCGTTCTGTTGATTTCCATGTGTTAATGTTATTGTTCAGATGCTGTGGATTGGTGATTAGAATTGTCATTTTTTGTGAATAAACAATGTGGCTCACTAAGCCTTGATTTATTAGCTCTGTTTTCCTCATGTAGGTTCCAGATGAAGCAGTTACCAAGTGCAATGCCTGTGGGACAGATTTTGGAGCATTTTGGCGAAAGGTTTAGTTTTATTCTTGGGATTTTATGTGCTATTACTACCTTGACTGGATATTGACCTCTGTGGATCGTGATCCTCATTCTTTTCATTTTTTTTTCCATTTTTTCAGCATCATTGTAGGAACTGTGGGGATATTTTCTGTGACAAGTGCACCCAAGGTAGAATTGCTCTCACTGCAGATGAGCATGCTCAACCTGTCCGTGTATGTGATCGATGCATGGTACGTGCATATGTTACTGAATCTTTTTTGTTGATGTGTATTCTATACATAAGACTACCACATAATGGGAAGAAGTATTGTCCCGGGTAGATCTCAATGACAAATAATATGTGATTTTGAGAATAGTATAGTAGCAAGCCTGTGTCAGAGTGTGCGAAGTCACTGAACACAAGCTGTGTGGAAGATTTTGGTTTCATGTAATTGGTTTAACACATAATTTAAGTTGATTTATAAAAATAGTCCATCTAAAACATTGTATAGCATGAAATTCGGTTGTAATCTAATGCTGAAAATTGCCATCTTGTCAAAACCAAGTGTCAATGTTCAACGTGTGTTGATGGTTGAAGATCTTGGAACTTGCTGATTCTATCCAATCCAACTCTTCCCTCTCATGCATGGGTTGCCCCGTAGGTCATGCATCTTTCCGTAGCAAACTTCCAAAGGACTGTTCAAATCAGTCATTTTTATGCTTGTACATCTTCGGTTGGGTTTCTGGCATGATTCATGAAACTGGAAACTTTTTAAGATCTAGAAGACATTTTTTTTTCTCTGTGAGGCCTTTTAGAGACACTATGCTACATGATCTCCTTCAATTTTGTGCAGGCAGAAGTTACCCAGAGGCTGACTAATGCAAAGGAAACAGCTGGAAAAATTGCTAGACTGCAGACTCACGAGGATCTTGCAAAAAGACTTCAGGTGACTCTGTGCTTTTACCATGCTTTTGGGTTTCATGTTGCATGTTTAGTAGTAGTTCCATCTCCAAACACATTTTTTTCTTAACATGCATGTAATTCCAGGTGTGCTGCACTCTCAATTTTAAGTTAATGAGCTGCGAAAATGTTGGTGTCAAAAGCAAAACACCTCTGTCTACCACTAATAAGCTTTTCTTGTTGCTTCATTGCCCATAATGTCTAGGTTTAGGATATAATGGCCGATATAAATTGTTGCTAGTAAAAGTTGATTATTGGAAGTTTGGAGAGGCATTTATTACTTTTAATGTGCACCTATAAATTTCAATTGGTTCATAAATTCACCATTGCATTATTACGCGATACAAAAATAGCTAATTATATTAGTTTGTTGTGAACCTATTCTTGAGAATATACTATGATTGTTAAAGATAAAGTCTTCCCTAATGTATTTTTAGAGCTGAATGTATGAAATGAGGATGAATATTTCCAATCTCCCACTTGATGGAAGTAAGCTATTTCTGTTGCTGTACACTTGATGGGTCAAAACATTTGGGGTATCCTTTGTTAAATTAGTACCATCTCTATTCTTTTTCCTTTGTACAATGTATGTGGAGGTCTCTTGTTCTTAATCTATCTTACTGTTTTTAATGCCCACTGATTTGACATGTGGTCAATGATTTGTAACAGGAAGTGATGGACAAAAATCGCAAGACATCAACAGGTAGTCAGCAATTCTTAAACAGATTTTTTAGTGGGTCAAATCTGTTCATCCAACAAAACTAGGACTTAATCCCTAGAACATGTTGTTCTGATCAGAGATGCTTCTTTCTACTTCATCAATTATCTACTTGGTGGAAATTTTTTTTTATGAATTTGTGCTACATGTATTTGACACATATTTTCTTCCTTTCCTCATCTGAAATAATACGCCTCTTACAGGTATGCAGTCTGATGGACCTGGAATGCAGATGAGGGAGGTTGAATGTCCAACTTGCACAGTCCATTTGCAGGTTTTCCATCCCTAGCCAGTTTACAATTGCTGAAGATTGTTATTTTTGGTGAATAGTGTGCCTCTGCCCACTTATGTAGTTTGTGGGTGAAAGTCCAAAAGTTTTGAACATACATTTTTAGACCGTTCATACTATTGAAATTGGTTGCAGGTCCAGGTTCCAGCCTCTGGTTCTGAAACCAGACAGTGCAGTGTTTGCCAGCATTCATTCCTCGCAAGTGCTCATTGATTCTGCCCTGCCACATCTTCCTATTCCAGATGGTGAACTGTTGTTTACTTCTTGAACACCGTAAAAAAGTCACTATACCTCTTCACAATGACTATACATATCTTACTTACCAAAAAAAGAAGACTATACATATCTTTACAGCCTGTTTTGTTCGAGTATTATAGAGCCTGTACATGTAATATGATTATGTATCTCGTTAACAATCTACATTCATTTCTATATATGTTTTTCTGGCTTGGATGTTAAAAATTAGAATGTGAAACTCTACAGGAGATGATGTACAAGGTCAACAATTAGTTGTCTGCCAATATTTTCTCTGAAATTGCTGGTAAAAGGAAAACTATTCAGCCTTATCTGAAGCTCGTAGAAAGCCTTAAGTTTCCACAATGGGAGGCGACATTCGGTACCATGGAATTGAAGAATACTTTCACTGTGCAAAGAACCATTTTTTAGAGTTTCAACTGCCAGAAAAACAAAATCTAAACCTAGGCTGGAACACTGTGGGAAGGAGAAAAAAAGGAGGAAAGGGTGGGGGGGACAACCACCAATTCTTAATATCTTTGTAACTATACAAATAGGCAGTTTGAATATATTATTACCACAAGTCATCGAAATCCCTAAACTAATAATGCAACTCTAAAAGTCCATGACCCAAAGTTTTGCCTATGCAAACCTACAAAATTGTACCCTTTCAACTGAAAAAAACCCACCACTAGAAGGATAGAGAACATACTATATATACATATAAGAACAAGACTGGATAAAAAAACAATCACCATATAAATCAAAGAAGTTTATTCTGAGCAACAGCCTGGCATAACTCATCCTCGTAAAAGAGAACCCGATTTGAAGCCAACGATTTGCATAGGGGTTTCGGTAAAACTGATGGCACCATGCACCTGGGAGGAAATGTTGACTCCTGAAAGAGAACTGCTGCTATCTGCCGCATGTCCGCATACTTGACACGAGATGGCGGGCGAGGACCATGCCTTGGTGCTTTTGGGGTGTGTGGGCTTTGTTCCCAAAGACCTTTTCCATCTCCCTTGCTGCAAGTGAAGGTCAAGGAACATATAAGGAGTTGAAGAGAGGGCTAATAAGGATCCTGACTGATATTCATGAGTTGATTTACCCACCTTACAAAAGGCCAACGCTCTGTGGGGAGTGGAGTTATTGCCCTCAACATCTCTTGTCGAGACCGATCTGGAGTAGTGTAATTGAAGTAGAACTGCCTAGCGAGTACAACCTGATCAAATTCCAAAAGCAGTAGTATTTATTTTTTCATTTCTAAAAAATCCACACATATACAATCATAGGCAAGATGGTGCGAGAGTGAGAAAGAGAGAAACTCACAGCTTTTCGAATCCTGTGAGATACATGGAAAACTGCTCTAAGTTGATCATGGTGGAGGTGGCAGAGTATTTTGACCTCAAATGACAAAAAATGAACATAATCAGTAAACCTAAAAATAAAGATACACAGTTCATTTTTGTGAGTTAATCAGAACCAAAAATTGGATGACAATAAATCTACAAAAAATGTCAATAGCTATGGTGGGGAAAACATGAGAAAAAACTTCTAATCCAGCATAAAGTTTTGACTACTGATTGCCTTTGGTTGTCAGTAAACTTGATGGCAAGCAATAAAAGTTGAGTGTCGAATCATGTCTACACACTCATAGCAACTCTTTAGGATTCTCAACAATGGAAAGAGAAGCCAATTTTAAAAAAAAAAAAACATACAAACGCTCGCACAGTCAGACAGATGAAAGAGTTAGATAGAGACAAAGACTCTTGAGAAATGAACTCCAGCTGTAAATTTAAGGGAACCAACATGATTAGAAATTGGACAATATCAGTCAACAGTGATTAGCAACAGCAATAGCAATATCTATATAAACACAAGGTAACATGTCTAAGTAAGTTAACAGCCAAAGAAGCCAATTTAATACAAAAAAAATCAAGATCAGTCAAGTTTTCAGTCACAAGATAATATAGCAAGATGACTTTTTGATTGTCCAAAATGAATTTTAGTCCAAAACACCTTTTCTGAACTCTCCAATTTCTTTGGACCAAAAAATGAAAAAAAAAAAAAAAAAAACTCTTGATCTCTGTGTTGCTAACTGTTATCTGAATCAGATGGTAGAAACTAACACGAGAATTGTTAACTTATAACAATTGCCATAAGTATCAATATTTGTAGGACACACATCAGTTGGAAACTAGGCACCTGAATTTACATACTACCAAGCAGCTTTCCTAAAACATGCACAAGCCTCTAAAAGTAGCACATTGATGTCTCTAGTCTACAAGCAAAAGTGTGTGGAATGTTCTGGAATCTACAGAAAATGCTCTAGACTTTGCTGAATAGACATCAAGCGACCCAAACCCATACTCAATAGCACTGGTTTAAACACCAATATTTCCAATTCACCTGCCTCTGTGACATATATACTAAGCCTGATGAAAGTAAGTCACCAAACTCTCCAAAACAATTATAAACTTCGGAGAATAAGGACTGTTATCATCAAAGGATAAAAAGAGAAATCTCCAAAAAAGACAGCAGAATACAAATCACCATATTTTTAAAGTTTCCCCCCATGGCTGGAGATATTTCATCTACACTGCCATAAGAAGCTTTGACAGTATCAGACCGACCTCTCAATTATGATCAGCAGCCCATTAAATAATATATCCTTAACAAAAAATTCATTTTGTCAAAACAAAGTACACTGCACATAACTAACAAGTTGCATTGTTGAAACATGATTTTGACAATCAGATAGGATTCTTTCTTCTAGGCTCATTTTTCAAAAAAAAAAAGTGAAGTAAATGAAGTCCAGTGCATGCTAAATAGTTGAGTTTCTTGCAATTAGAAAAACAAAACATATACCTATTCAGCTTGTCCAACTCACAGAAGTGAACTTCGTTTGGTAAGTAAAGTCAATTTAAAGATTTTCCACCACAAAAACTATTTACGCAGAAACACCATTTCATGTATGAAGTGCGGTTTGATGACCATATTGAAATCAAAGATATGCAAGTCAAGTTAAAAGTTCAATACCCAGTTTGGCCACCATTAATCAAGCATACTAAGAGACATAGACTAGGCACATATCTAACCTTTGCTATAAATTGCACAAAGTGATTGCTAATTGGATCCAAACCTAAACCGTCATTGTTATTACTAGTCCAACAATTTGACAACTTTATCGGTTAATGGTAATTCAAATTATCAACTGACAATATTACTCGGTAACATCCCAAACAAAAGGAATTCTGACCATTAAAATACAAAAAAGTTGGAAATATGACCAAGAAGACACCAAGATCTGCTGACAGGAATCGAATCAAAACTTTAAATTGCAAATTACCAACAAAAGACACATCATTAGTTCTCAGTCATTTCCAAAAAATTAAGCCATTGCTGACAGTAGCATGATAGATACTGATAGTTTGAACCACAACAAAAACACAACTAGCAATATAACCACAAGAAATCCTAACTAAATCATAACTGACTAGATGTTAAGAAGCTGAATTTCAAAGCGTTGAACCATCAGAAACTTTTGATCTCTACAAGGACAAGGAATTTCAAAATATTTCAGAATTTATATTAGATCAAGCAATCAAAACATGGAAAAATATATGAAGTACCAGTAAATCCATTGGGAGAGATTCAAGCCTCGACTCAGAATTGCAATCTGCATGACAAGGCGTCTTTGGCGTTCTCTGCAGATTATTCTGCCTCAGCATATCTAAGGGTCCAACTACAGGACCAAATCCAAACTTTACAGGCGATAAAACTGTGGGGCTTTTATCAATGCCCATAGTCTGAGTTACTACTTCCTCATTGTTTGTCTTCTGAGATTCGAACACGGCCACCCTTTTCTTTCCAAGATCTGTACAGGATTTAGCAGCTGACACCTTCTTGTAGCGAAGCTGAGCCAGGGCACCTGGCCTCAGATACTTGCTGCTCGAACTCCGTAACCTCCTTTTCTGTTTAGCAGTCTTGGATTCCCTATCTTTTGGAAATACTTTCCCCATACTATTTCCTTCCTTTCTCCCCGTTTTGCAATCAATCTTATCTCCTTGTGCTCTTGTATTATAAAATCTTTACACTTTTTCACAATTTCCTCAAATATTATTCCCAGCAGGGCTAAAAAAATACCTTTACAATCAGGATTCACTGAACCTGAAACACGCATAGAAGTCAAAACCCCCATTAAAAAGAAAACGAAAACCAAACATTTTAACCGAAGAATAGACAGATAGTGATACAGAAGTCAATTAGCATATCAGCAACTGCATAGAAGACACTATCAAAGCTTACATAATCAAAACCATGTTCAACCATCCTGCCAATCGATCTCCCTGTTAACAACATAAAACCATTCAAAAAACCCCTAAAAAAACTCCAATACAATGTTAAAAAAGAATGTATAAACCAAAAAGGAAACACATAAAGCTCATTTGAAAGAAACAGTTCGGCAAATGAAAATTTCAACCCTAAAACAACACCAATTTGGCGAAACAGAGAAGTACAATTCGCAAAACCACCAGATACTCCCACACAACCACACACATATGTACACATACGAAACAGACCAGTACAATCCAAGCTAAATCGAAACATGCCAGAAATTAAAAAATTCAAACACGAAATGAACCGCAAAAACAGAAAAATACGAACCTCAGAACCTCCAGATATTCAAAGAAACCACAGAGAGAATCCTATGAATTGACTAGCAGTACAGAAAATTGGAGAGAGAAAGAGAGAGGGAGAGAGAAAGAGAGAGAGAATGGGTCCGCCCGCCTAGGGTTTGTTCTCTTTTTGAAATTCTTGTGAGTGCCCGCCAAATTTTCCAGCAACTGTTACTGCTGTGAATAAAATACACAAAACCGTAGAGGTTATTATATATATGAAGTGGGGATACGAGCGGGATGGTGACGTGGCGAGTTTTGATTGGGTGAAAGGGACCGTGAAGAGTTCGTGGGGCAGTGAGAATCCTAGGCAGTTTAGTCAGCTGGGGCCCTTATCCTACGGCGCAGATGGCGGCAGGTAGATTCTTGATTGGATTTCGTTTCTAATTCGAATTATTCTTTTTTTTTTTTTTGAAAAATAAGGTATGAGAAGGAAAAACAAAATTATTTTGATAAGACTTTTATAGTTTTATTGGCCTTGTTTATTTTTAGGATAAGTTTATGGTAAAAAAAAATAATTGAAATTAAGTCTATCCATCATCTCGGGTGATATGAGTTCGTGTCGGATCTTAACATATTCGTATCAAAAAATGTTTGATCTATATTCGATTCGTTTATTAATTCTTATATAATAAATAATGTCATATCAAGTTTGTATTGTATATAAATTATATATAACCGATATATAAATAAGGTGTATTATATATTTTTTTATTAATTTCACATATATCCAATTTGTTTATTAATATTATCATGTTGAGTCAGGATGACCCATTTACAAAACGGGTATCATACGAAAAAATCAAGCCCTTTAATTTCGTGATTTCTTGTCTATCAATTAATTAAAAAAATAAAAAAAAATCTATTTAGATTAAGGTTTGAGAGGTAAAAAAACAAAAATGTTTTGATAAGACTTGATTGCCTTTTTGAAAAAAAAAATGGCAATGACTTATCTGCTTAGTTTGAGGCTTAATTATCGGCTTTAGACATTAATGCCCTTAAATTTGTCCAACTATCAAATTAGGACTCGGTTTAATTGCTTTCAATGATAGATTATATTCATGGTCTAATAAAGAAAAATCCATTTATAATAATGGGTTTTATTTCATGAAAAATAAGTAATCGAGAAAAAAACTAACTGAATACAAACGTGAAAGATAATAATGTTTAATACCAAGCCACAATAGTCAATCATTGAACTCAAGAAATAATCGGGCACAACTACACAAGCCTACACACATTGTAACACAAAAAAAATCACGCNTTTTTTTTATTCTTCTAGAGTTAAATAATGTTTAATACCAAGCCACAATAGTCAATCATTGAACTCAAGAAGTAATCGGGCACAACTACACAAGCCTACACACATTGTAACACAAAAAAAATCACGCTCAATACACTTTTTATTTTTTTTAAAAAAAATAAAAATTGCCAATCGTAGATGATCAACAACCATGTATTGATAATTGTACTAAAGGGAGTCCCTCTTAGGGTTTTATTATTGATGATCTAGTAGTATTGGAGCAAATTGAGAAAAAATAAATCCAGTAGATCTATATCTTTTCTTATCCTTTTTTTGCTAATTAAGCGATATTTGTACTTCTTAGAGTACTCAATTAATCTTTTCATATACATACAAACATCTAATCTGGTTATGTCCAAGATGTATTTATTTCTCGTGAATTTTTTAGTCTTAACACGGATGACTTATTTTTAACAATATTAAATAAAAAAAGTAATCGAAATATGGATAAACTGATACAGATATCGGACCGTAATATCTACAAAATAGTAATAATGGACTTATATGAATAAACTTTTTTTCAACAAATTATTTAGGTCATTGGGTTCGAACAGATGGACAACAAATGCAAGGGGTGACAAGACAATCATTTCAGCATCACACTGCATTCTCATGATGTCTTTCAATTTGTATCAGATAGGAGCTGGAGCCTTCTCACACATTTATTAAATGCCACTCAAGACTCAAGACCCATTTTTGTGAAATTCAATAACTTGAGCAGCGTAACTTCTAATATTATCCAGAGCTTTACGCGTGACTTTTTTTTCGTACTAAAAATTATTTTGATAAAAGAACTTTAATCCGATTTAATTTTTTGAATTGTAGTCTTGAGTTGTTTTAGATTGAGTTTGAATTAACCAAGCACCAAATTCAAATTCAACCCTAATTGAGCTCGAATTTTAAGTATTTTGAAAGTCAAGAGTATTGATGGGGACGAATCATAAATCTAGATGCTTTGAGTTCTAATTTTATCAATCTCTTAGACTAGATCATAAGGAATTTATCCATCATGTGGATGATCTGCCTTTGATCGGATCGAAAAAATAATTAACCGAGATACGCATAAACTGATTCGAACACTCTTAACCACTGCACCCCAAAAAAAGGCCGGTAGTGGTTTTCAATTGAGTTGTGTAATGTGAGCTTAACATGGAGTTTATAAAAAATTAAATATGTGTAACACTCGGATTAAAGGGGTCGAATTGAATTCGAAGCAGAGTAAGCCCAAATGAAGCGTTTAAAACTTGTGTGACGCCCAAGTTAATCTATCAGCAGGCCCAACCCACTCGAATTGCATTTCTATCAGCAACCCCCCTCCCCCAATTGTTCTCTCTCTCTCTCTCTCTCTCTCTCTCTCTCTCTCTCTAATGTTTCAATCCTCTATAGCCCATACTACTCAATGGAAGGGTAAACTGCTTTACCTTTATATATGGTTTTGACTAACTAATAATTTATCTATTTATACTTTAGGAATTTGCATATAATCCCGTATAACTTTTAACTAAAATATAAAAGAGCTAATGGAGTTAGTATATTATTTTTAAAAAAGACAATAATATCATTTATCTTTTTTCAATAATCTCCTCCTAAAATTCTTCTACAAGTTAATAATCTACTTGATACATAGAAAAAAAGAGTTTACGGCATGAACTACCATGATATCTAAGCCTATTCACTCCCCCATGCTTTTGCACCCCAGCGTTGGTAGGAATTTCGAGAGTTGCCTTGATTTATTTTTTGATGATACCAAAAATTATTCAAGGTTAAACTCGGTCTGATACAGCTCAAAAATATACCCCCTCGATAAGGGCCCGCATGATGACATCGAAATTTAGGTTCTAGCTTGAGACATGCAGATCAAACAAATTAGTTGAGCTGCTAGTTTCTAGCTACCTAGCTCAGATTTCCTAGGTCGAGAACCGCAGCTTAGGAGTTGGCACCAACATAACCCTCGTACTGTCGTACACACAATGACAAAGACAATCTATACCTTCTAAAAGACCACGTCACACCTAAAGAATGTAACCTCCAACAATTAAATATTTCCTCACCTGATCCTAACAAACCTTGAAGGGTCACGTGGATTAGGCCAAAACCACGTTCCCTCACACTATAAATAGGGACCGATCCCTCACATTGTAAAGGATGAAGTGTCTTTGAATTGACTCTCAAAATCATTGTAATCGTCTTTCCCAAGTAATAAAAAACTCTCATAAGAACAAGAGATTTCATTAGAGTGAACTATCCAAGTTTTCAAACTAGTGAATCACTATAAACCCCCCTGCCTTTTGATTTCCATTATCTTTTATTATCCTTGTGTTGATTGTTTAATGATCGAGCGCCTACTAGTTCTGGTTGGATATTTTAGTGAACTTCGTTAATGTCCCTTACGAATTTTTGATTCATTTTTTTTTTGAGCCGTGAACCCTACCACACAATCGCATAAATCACACCACCATTTTCAATAGAAAAAATTTATTAAATGAGTGTGAGTTTTGGGGCCTATATAAATTGCCCGATTGAGATATGAATGTTATGGATTAAAATCTTCGATTGAGCATCTGGGAAAAAAAATGAGACGCAGTTGTGAAAATTATGGTCGTGTTTGGTTAGCTTGTGCAAAACAGTTTTTTGTTTTCAAAATTTCAAAAACACCAAAAACCTTTTTATTTAGCATTTTTGTTCTCTAAATTTTGGGAAAAAAATGAGAGTGTGTTTGGTTAGCTTCTGCAAAACAGTTTTTTGTTCTCAAAAATTCAAAAACACCCAAAACCTGTTTGTCTAGCATTTTTGTTCTCTAAATTTTGGGAAAAAAATGAGATTTGAGTCAAAGAAACATAAAACAAATGTAACTTATTTTCAGAGTTTTCTTTGAAAAATTTTGGAAACGAGGAGAACAATTTTGGATGTTCAGATATGAGTATATATGTAAATATATATATATATTATGAAATTGTCAATATAAAAATAATTTTTTTATATTTTTTTTATTAATGTTTGAATTACTGTTCAAATATATATTTAGGTTGTCCAAACAAGTTTTACTATTTTCTGTATTGTAAAATTATTTTTGAAATCATCTAATCAAATAAGTTTTTTATCTCAAAAAATATCAAAACCACTTTCTTAAAACTCTTCTCAAAAACTGTTTTCGAATACTATTTTTTGAAACGCAAACCAAACAAGCCCTATATGTTTTGGGACGTCACATCACATTATATTTCAACTAATATCAATTAAATAGGACATAGCGAACTTGCGGCGATAAATGCTCTGGTGGAAGATAAGGTTTACCCATCTACTGGGCCCCTGTGTATATTTATTTGAGTGGGACTAGGCAACCGCCCACGGATATAACCGCCAACAATAATCCATGCAGGAAGACACTTTGTACTATAAAAAATTTAAGTATCGAGTGTGCTATTTAAAATTAAAGTGATAAAGAAAAAATAAGAATTAGGTAAGAGAGAGAGAATGCAAGGTTATCTAACATTCGGGAGTGTGATAGTTGAATTATTTAACATTAAAAATAGTATAAAAAATATAATTTTTATTGGGTGAGGTTTTTAGTTGGAATAAATTTTATACCGTTGGACGAAATTTGATGAAGATTGGAATAATTTCAACTATTATTGTAATTTTATAAATGTGCAATTCAACTTGCTAACTTAGGTAGTCTTTGGTAATCGGTGGTTTTTGTTTTTTTTTGTTTTTGTTTTCATTTTATGGTAAAAAATAAAAATAAAAATATGTTTGGTGAATGTTTTCATTTTTTTTAATTGTTCTGTTTTGAAAACAAGGCTAAAATATGAAAACATCCAAAATGATGTTTTTGAAAACATCAA